TGCACCAGTCCTACTCTTCCCTGTTTATTTTTCTCCTGGTCAGCAATAAAATAGAATAATAAAGCAACAAGCAAACAAATACGAGCAAGAAAACCCAGTTGAGAAGAAAAATAATTTGAGTTGTTGTTTGTCACCGGTGTTGAGGAATCCCCTGGACCACAGTGTTCCTATGCAAGCACTGCTACCTCCTTTGCCTCCATTCCAGGAGGTGAAGTCATGAACTCGTGTTAAGTATCTTAAACAAACATTTGGAGGAATAGGAGAATGACAAAGCTACATTTAAATATTTCAGAGAGAAGCACATCCAAAATTTTTGTTTGGCACCCAGGTGAGATGTCTTCCAGTAAACCTTGGTTGCTTGAGCTCACAAAAGCTTCACAGACTCCCTCCTGTATTCAATTAGAAACTGCTTTACAGGTAAGGAATATTTTATGAAGTGAAGAAATTGTCAGTGAAATGGGAAACAATTTCTGTACTCAGTGTGGAGAGTCTGGAATTGTTGTGACCAACAGCCTCTCAGAAGTCTGCCCTAACACTGCCAGAGTGGAAGAGTACAAAAATTTGCTGCTACTTTTAACAGGGAATGCACAATCCATAGTCAAATAGGCAGGGAAATACCTCTCCAGAGAAAACTGCACAGAGAGGGATCCTGGGGAGGCAGGCTGGAAAGAAAACAAATAGATTTCAGTTGGAAAACAGCCTGGTCTCTGTCAAACATGGTAGTAAAACTGACATACTCTTGCAGACAGAGTTGGTAAGATTAGTACGTCATGATGGAAAACTTACTGATAAGAAAATTTGGGAGTAGATTAATGCAGAGGCTATCTAAAGAAAATATATAATTTTTAAGGCACGTGCATAAAAAAGAAAGAAAGGTACGGATAAATGAAAACTTCAGAAGAAAGTTAAACTCAGCAATTAGCATTATGGAATTGCATAGACTAGAAAGTCATTAGCACTAAGTAGAACCAAAGATAATTAAAGAATACCATGTTTACAGTCTCTTTGCTAAGATAAAGTGGGATGTCAGCCTGGAAAACTCCATCAGCACTGCAGAAGAGATTCATAACTAAATTGATTAGGTTAGCAGCCCAGAAAGTGCTCCAGTAAGGAAGCAGGTTTCTACAGGAAAATGTTTTGCTTTAAAAACAGACTTAGCACTAAACCCTGCCCTTACTGATAACTAACAAAATTAAAGTGCAGTAAAAGGGAAAAAGCATCTGGAAGGGTCTCTAAGGGCCTGTGCACCATTTCAATAAACACTGTGGGTGCACATGTTTAGTATTGTTCCACAAGACTGTTTGGACATCTTTAAAGCCAGGGCTGAGCATTTAGGGCCTTGATATGCAGCCTACAGTTACACTGGCAGGTCCAAACTTGAACACAGCTGGTTTAATACTAATTGAGTCTATTTATCTGCTTTGAGGACAATAAGTACCATTGAGACGGCCTGTATATTGTTTTAGGCAAAGCAGATACTTGTGCTTGTACACAGAAAGAAATATGTGCACACAAATACATATGTAAACAGACTGTCAGGGCAGAACTGAATGGATTGGTTTGGAACAGCTATTCCAGAGTGTGTTTGTAGGAACTCACTTTGTTGCATTTTATCCATTTGTCACACTGCACTTCCCCCAGCCACGACACTGAGCAAAGTGCTCTGTGTGTTAGGTTTGAAAAGATTGAGCCGGAAATGAAGAATTCAGCTGAGGGTAAGTGTGGCACACAAGTCCCTCACTCCCAGTTCCAGTTTCCACTACAGAATTCTGCCATCACAAGTGCACAACATCAGGATGTGAAAAATTCATACTACTGAGTGTCACCATTAAGCTTCCTCTTACTATTCTTAATCATAAGGCAAAAATAAACAGTCCTGGCTTACCTTTCCTTTCAGATTTTCCTATTTCTAAACCACAGCGTTCCAGTTGGCATTTTGGAGTATAGGTAAATCCCAGGTTATAACTTTTTTTCCTGAAGTATCTGTGTGGACCAAGGAGTTTTGAATAATCAGCTAAATAACACTGCAGTGATCAGCTAGATAGCATTGCAAAGGCAGCTGCATGCATTTGTATGAGTGTGGTGCGTGTGTGGTCGTGTGCCCACATGTAATCTGTATTATTTTGTGCCTCTGGCTATTATGAACAGTTTGGAATGGATGGCTGCAGAGCACCTCCCCACAGAAACTGAGCCTCACTGATGTGGAATATGTAGAAGACCCTAGCATCTACCTTTCCCTTGTGTTAATACACTCGATCACAATCTAGGAACATCTGTGCAGATGTCCTGGTAGCTGTGAACATTTCAGGACAGCAAGTATTTTTCACATCCTATAGGTATCCTTGGAGATGTATAGCGAAGATGTTGAAAAGCTGAAAAAATAATGCTATGTGGGGACTTTTTCAACAGAAACTTAAACTTCAATAAATGATAGAATCGTGTGGTCATGGGGACTCGTCTGCCTTGTGGTGAAGCAGCTGCTTTTCTCAGTTTTGATTTAAGACAGAGAGAGAGAGAAGAAGAAACTACATGGTGGTGGTAGTTTTCTAACTGCTACATGAAGTTTGAATACTGTTAAACTCAATGCTGAGCAGCAGATGGTATATTTACGCCCAAGACGTGAGACTGTTGTTGACATGGTTTGTAGCAGCAATGTTGATGTAAATGCCTATTTCCTCGGATTGTGTATCATGATGACATTAATCCACAAGGAAAGAAAACCATCTGGAAAATTTTCAGTTAGTATAATCTGAAGTGAATTAAATACCATAAACTCATATGTTACTTAAGGTAAAAATTGTCTTAAACTGAGAAGAGGACTATACCACTTGTTGTTCAGCTAGCCTCCTCTAATCCAATCTGTTCTCCTAATGCCATTTTTTCTGCCTTGTTTTTAATAAATTGATGTGAATTGCACTCTCTTGTATAACTTCTTTTCCAGTAAGATGAGGACAGCACTATCTGAAATAGACATATATCTCAAGACATCCCTAACATCTCTCAGGTTATGCAGTTTTACAGGTTTTTCCCTTATTGCTTTTACTCTAAAAAAAAAAAAAAAAAAAAAAAATACACTAAAACTAACTGCATACATCATGTTGCTGTTGTTATTATTTTTATCATCATCATCATTTTAATGAAAAAATATTTTAATTGGAAGCAAATTGTTTTGACTGAGTAAAGCTTCAGTGGAACTTCAATGACCATGTTTGAATGAAAGCATATACTTCTCTGCCACAGGAGATCAATGTGGAGCATGCCTTGAGTGCTTGAAAAAGAATCAGCATTTACGAGGATGGCCAAAAGGTTCAGGAGGAGGTTTTAGGATCCGCCTACTAGTCCTAGATAATGGGCTGACATTAATTTCAGTGCAAGTAGGATTAGATCTTCAGATATAGAAGCAACAACATGTATAACATCTTCTGTGACCATATGGTGTCACTGTATTTTCCCAAGTGTCCTGAACCAGAGTGAAACAGCTGTTAAGTTATTCTGTTGCAACTTTTCATACTTTTTCATATCCTATGGTATAAAAATTGAGACTGAAAAATTTGTCTGTTCATTTTAGGGCTTACTTTGGTCTTGACCTTTTTATGATTTGCTTTTTTCCTCCCAGCTGTTTTCTTCCCTATTTATTGTAAGTGGTTTTTATTGGCACATAGTTGTCCAGAAGTCGGTGCTTTTGAAGGCAGAGTTGATACACAACTGAACTCTTTTGAATGGCCTGCTCTGTTTACATGAGGCTTGCTAAATAACAAAAAGCAGAAATCAAGTACTGATCATCTGTGTGGTTTTCATCATTTATCATCTGCAGATTACAGTGATCTTGCAACTGCAAAAGATAAAACCTTAACAGGAGATTGTAATAAAAAGGCAGTATCCCTTTGTAGATCTTTGTTGTGCAAGCAGTTAATTCTCGTGGCTCCCAGGAAGTAGTCAGGTGACACAAACATTCTTAACATTTTGTAAAACTATAGCAAGAATAAGTTTTGACATACAGACTGCACCTAGATTTTTATAATTTTGGAAGCATGCCCTCATGGTTGAAGTTACTGGCAAGTTTCCCATTGGTTTCAAGAGTTCCTCATAAAATTCATTGAACTTATGAACCAATTAGAAAATCCTCCACAGATAAAAAGAATTAAATATTTGCATGGAAGATTCATAATCAGACTTCAAACACTCTATACATGAAATAATGTGAAGAATGATTTATTATTTATATAGCTGGAGTTGTTGCAAATATGTATTTAAACTATCAAAATTTCAGTGTAACCAGAAAAGCATAGAATTTAGAAATTTCATCTGGTTAATGAAAAAACATCTATGAACTTACTGACTCTTACTTGAACTTGCTGAACCAGAATGCCATGATGCTATAGGAGCTTGACCATATTCAGCTGGACAGAGATGCTCATCCAGTGATGCTAATAATGTTCACATTTTTTATGTTTTTTTTCCTAGCAATTGATGTTGACTTTTCTTGATATTAAGTACATCTAGTATAGCATCTAGGTTTGTTCACTTTGCATGGAGTTATGTACCACTGGTAATACTAAATGACATAGTAATGGAGGATCTTTCCTGAAATGTAATTGATCATGTTAAGAGACATATTTTAAATGCCAAACCTATCACAGTGGAACTGTAAGAAAGTATAAGCTTTGTGCCAAATGCTTGTTTAGATTAAGCACAACTTTTCAGGCCAAATTACTCTCCCCACAGTATGCTTGGGTCATTGTCTATGCAGAATTCCAGCACAAATCTCTTGGAGAGGCTCAGCAGGATCGCACCTTGATTTGGTTTTATCTTTCATTTTATGCTGCTCTCAGTATTGGATGCATGAAGATCTTAAAAATACCAGCCCTCTTTACTCAGCACAAGTAAAACCCTTTCCTGAAATTAGGACTGGTAGACATTCATTTTACTGAGGCTTTTTCCTAATAATGCAGTTCCAAAGATTCTTCTTTAAATAAGAAATGTAGTGCTAATTAGGTTGATATTTTTTATAAAATACTTTATTAAGAATAATAAGAGTAAACAAGGTTACAAAAATACCGACTTTATTAACTACTGAAGATGCCATTAATTACAGAAGATCGTAATACAGGTTATAACCACAGTGTTCCCTTTTCGTTAGGCATTTGGTCAGTTATCATTAATGGAAGCACTATTTTTCCCACTTAAATACGAAAAAATACTCTTATCATACACTGAATTCCACAGGCAGCTCCCTGAATTGATCCCACAGAAGAAAACACCATACACAAATGCCCAAGAGTATATATAAAAAGGAACACTGTAAAATTTTAGGATGAAAAGCCATGTCAGTTCTTGCCAGCAGTCCTAACATTCATAAAACAATAATATACCAGTGCATGTGAGGGAGGAAAAAAAAACACAAAACAACTGATAAGGAAAGAAGACAAAACAACCAATACTATTGGTTTTATATAGATTTCATGGGAGTGAACTGGTTTACAACCAGCTTTCCATAAAGATGGCAATAAAGCCTTGCCTGCTCTTGCAGTTGCTTTGTAGTCCAGAACTGGTATGCTTTTCGGTGTAAAAGGATGCATTAAGTTCAGTGCACAGCTGTAGGGAAAAGCATTGAGCAAATTTCAGCCCCTACTTTGATAATCACATTCATTGATTTCAAGGGACATTTTGCCTGAGTAGATTTTGACCCTCAGAAGTATATTTGGACCCTTGTCTGGAAAACCCTAACTCAAGTGATTAGCTCTGTCAAGTATATTGGCATTACACACAGCTAAGGTCTGCAGAATGCCTGGGAGAATTTTAATTTCAAACTACAGAAGATTTCAGCCATAGCAGCAAAGATTTGGACCAGTACATTCCCAATGAGTGCTATAGTTTCTCTGAGAATCATGAGCTTTAGGAGAGAAAAAGAGATAGGAAAAAGAAAACAAACCCTTTTTTTTACAAGGGAGAAATGTTTTCATTAAGGAAAGGAAGAAGTGTCAGCCAGTTTTAGTGCCATAAGAAAACAAGTCAATTGAGTTAAACTAACTTCAGCAGCTCAAAATCAGGTCTTAGGTTTGAAATTCTGTATCCAGTTATTATACTTTTCAGAGTCCATAGATAAGTTGCAGCAAGGAAAAGGAAGACAAAATTCAAAGGAATTTAAGAATGTCCTTAGATAACAGTTTACGTTCTGTATCCTTTAATTATAATTATGAACAAAATCACATCTGCAAAGTAAAGTCCAAATCCCACTGAAGTTAGTAAGAGGCTTTTCAGAAATTTAGATGGGCACTAGAGTAAGTCCACCTGTTATTAGAGAGCAATATGTTAGAACAATGAATGAGTGTGTGTAGAGTGTTCTTTCTTAAGAGAATCCTGTAGTTATAACAGTTGCCTGGCACGGTACCATTGGTACCAACAAGAAATATTCACAGGAATAAATGAAGTACAAATTCATTACCACATATCATTATTCTTCTCTTCCCTTGCTTTTCAGAGTCTCGTGTGCCCTTCATATAGAGATAGGGAGAGCAAGAGCACCTGATAAGCAAGTGCATACAAACATGTTAAGTTCTGGAGCATCAACTCTGAACAATTTCTTTTACTGAGGTGATGCCTAGAACAAACAGGTAAAAATCCTTACATGTTGTCTAACAAAAAACAGTATTTTTTAATCATATATTTATATGTGTGTGTGTGTATATATATATATAAAAATCACAGCCTTCTGCACAGCAGAAGATTATAACTAAAATATTTTAAGATTCAATTTTTTAGATAGACATAACAAAACGCCTGCACATATAATACAGTGAACACATAAGAATTCCTAGGGTACAAAGAGTGAACATGAAATTATGTATTTTATCCACATTCTACTAATGACTGAAAACAAAACTCACTTGGAGTTTTTTCAAAAGTCTCTCTCAAAAAGTTAATTCTTTCAATATGCTGCGTTCAGTATATACTGAGTAAGAATACAGTCTTTACATACATTGCAATAATTAATTGTAAATACAACAGGCTAAATCCTGCCCTCTTTAAGCCTGGTGAGTAAGAGAGACAAAAAGGAGTATGAAGCCTTCAGAAGCAGCCAGGATAGATAGACTATCCATGTAGCATCCACACCTTCAGGTTACCAGTACAGGGAAGTTGCTTCTGTTCCAAGGAAACTATTTACATCAGAAGGAATTTCAGATGCTCTACTTCCTAAAATATTTCTTCCTATGCACCAGTAGACATTGCTGGATGCTTGACACAAACCTCAGCAAGCCAAGCAATTTAAGCTTGGGCTGAAATTCATCCTAGTTGACTAGGAGATGTAAGCATATTTAAGTCTCACTGTAGCCAAAGTGCACTGCTGAAGAAAATAATTTGGTGAGTTAACATGAGAACGACCTCCCACGACAGCTCTTCTGAAATGGTTACTTTCTGCCAGGGCAGAACTCAGCCCTGCGTCTTCAGAATGAAATAAAATGTTCTTTTATATGTCTACATCATCATGTCAGCTTAGTGGCTATGCAGTTAGATATGATCTATATCTTACAATTTGCTACTGGAAACATATACAAGTGCACTGTCACAAGTGAAGTAATAGTGCAGTTACTTATGCAATTGCATGTACAGTAGTAAAAATAACTGGATATGTGTTGTATCTACTTTCTAGAATTTACAGGGTAGTTGGTGCCACCTATAGCGTACTGCCAGCTGCTAAATGTATTACAATTCCAGACATACAGTTACATATCTAAAGGGGAACAAGCACTTTTCACAGATGCTGACTATATGTTCCCTTTCCAAATCAGCCTAAAGGGAAATGATAGTTCCACATGTAGGCAGGAAACAAAGTGCTTAACTACTAGTGATGCTTTCCCCATTTTGTACAAGATCATCTCCCTGAAATAATTTTATTGTCCTGAAAGAGACTATACAAAGGACACATTTTGGACCAAATTTAGGTAAGATCTTATTAAATATCTGAAGTCTCTGAAAAGTTTATTAATATATATCTTATTTTCCTAGTGCTGTCTTTCATCCAGGTGCCAGATTCAACTATTTTTTTTTTCCCCACTGTTAACAAAGTTACTTTTAAATCAATATGTAGGATCCTTTCAATTTTTAACACTTACCTCTTGAGAAGGATTTGGACATATTTAGTTTAAATACTTTTAATGGCAAATGTCCATCAGTGGCAAATCAAGACTACTTTTTCAATCCAATCACATACAATTTCTAACACTGTAAATTCACAGTTAGTTCTGTGACAAACTTTGAAAAAATGATCAACAGTTTGCTAACCAGTTCATTACTACATCTCTTTGCCTATCTAGAGAATTTTTTGAGATATCTTTTAGGGGACCACCTTCACACTAAAGGGACCAAGTATAGGAAGAGCCTACAAGTACTGTAATAGGAAGTGATACTGACTTCTGTGAGAACTTCACTGATTGAAGGCTTGTCAAAGTTTGTCAACAATGAGAAGATTAATTTCAAAAGGGATGTTTTTGTAATGAAATATTGACATTTTTGACCTCTCTCAAGGGCGTATGAGAAATAGGGTGATATATGCTGTCTTTGATAGATGTATATCTCTCTCAGTAGAACTATTGTCATATCTGAAGAGAAGTGTGCGGCTCATAGAAAGAATAAGTTGTGTTAAATAAAGCTATAATACGTTACCCCTTCTAAGATAATCTGAAGAGCAGCAAAAAAAGAGCTTGTGATCTTTTTGTACAAAATCATTAATCATCCAGTAATAATATCTTTGCAAAATTGTTTACCCATTCAAGTATCTTCAGGAGATATGTCACCATACTTGCATATACTGTAAGTTACTTCAATATTTATAAAACAACACTGATAGACAAAACACCAATAACACCTATAAATATTAAAAGAAGTTCAACAAACTTGACTATCAAGTAGTTTAAAAATGGTTGATCTTTACATTACACCTTAATTCTATGCTGTCCACAATCTCTCTGTAAATGGAAGCTGTTGAGTTTTCTTCAGGGTTTTCTGTAGGTCATCATAATCTTGTGTATCCACCGGGAGTAATGTGAGACTCGAACAAAAATTCCAGGACGATTTCGAATGGCACATCCACGGCCAGGAACAATGACACCCACTACTATTTTTAGTCTGTTTTGTTCACAAACCAAGGGACCACCATAATCACGCTAGGTGAAAAAAAAAAAAAAGAAAGAAAGAAAGAAGAAAAAAGAATGTCACCTAAAATGCTTCAAGACACAGTGCCCACAGTGCCCATCTGTCCCCTACTGCTTGCTTTCTCTTGGGTTGTACACAGTTCAACGAACAGGCAATAAAATTATCTTTACCTCAGAACAAACCCTAGCCTCTGACGTCTTTTTCACAACCAGAACTTATATGAACCAATATCAAAGTAATCTTTTGTTTATTCATATGCAAGTAATCCATCTTTACATATAATTCGAGTGCCATCAGACTACCAGCTCTTATTCTCCTGTTTCAGATACAGTTAAGTGCAATATTTATGGATGTCATCTACCCGGCCTTCTGCAAAGCCTTTGGCATGGTCTCTTGCCACATCCTTCTCTCTAAATTGGAGAGGTGTGGATTTGAAGGATGGACTGTTCAGTGGTCTAGGAATTGGCTGGCTGGATGCAGCCAAAGGGTTGTGACCAGTGGTTCTATGTCAGGGTGGAGGGTGGCCACAAGCAGGATCGGAGGTCTTCAGCATCTTCATCAGTGACACAGACAATGGCATCGAGTGCACCCTCAGCAAGTTTGTGGATAACACCAAGCTGAGCAGTGCAGTTGATATATTGGATGGAAGGGAAGCCATCCAGAGGGACCTGGACAGGCTGGAAAAGTGGGCCCATGCGAACCTAATGAAGTTCAATAAGGCCAAGTGCAAGGTTCTGAACTTGGGTTGGGGTAATCCTAGCTATTTATACAAACTGGGGGAAGATCTCCTTGAGAGCAGCCCTGTGGAAAAGAACTTGGGGGTCCAGGTAGACGAGAAGCTGGACATGAGCCAGCAGTGTGCGCTTGCAGCCCATAAGGCCAACTGTGTTCTGGGCTGCATTAAAAAAGGGGAGGCCAGCAGGGAGAGGGAGGTGATTGTCCCCCTCTACTTGGCTCTTGCGAGGCCCCATCTGCAGTACTGCTTCCAGGCCTGGGGACCCCAGTGCAGAAAGGATATGGAACTCTTGGAGCAGGTCCAGAGGAGGGCCACTAAAATGATCAGAGGGCTGAAGCACCTCTCCTGTAAGGAAAGGTTGAGGGAACTGGCTTTGTTTAGCTTGGAGAAGACTCCGGGGAGACCTCATTGTGGCCTTGCAATACTTGAAGGGAGCATATAAACAGGAAGGTGAATGGCTGTTTACAAGGGTGGATAGTGATAGGACAAGGGGGAGTGGTTTTAAACTGAGACAGGGGAGGTCTAGGTTAGATATTAGGAGGAATTTTTTCACAAAGAGGATGGTGATGCTTGTGATGCACAGGAACAGGTTGCCCAAAGACGTTGTGGATGACCCATCCCTGGAGGCATTCAAGGCCTGGCTTGGTAGCCTGGTCTGGTGGTTGATGACCCTGAACATAGCAGAGGGGTTGAAACTAGAGGATCACTGTGGTCCTTTTCAACCTCGGCCATTCTGTGATTCTATGATTCTATGATTTTTTTTATAATGAGGAGAAAGTGAGATGACTAATAAACATATTATTTGTGATAACAGTCTTTCTTCAAAGACTACTGAGAGTTGTAATTACTATTCCTATGCATCTGGCAGTCAATTCTATTTCAGCACACTACAATGAGAATCTATGAACTAATTGGCAGAATAAATTTTTTAAAAGTAACATTTTGTAGAGAAAGAGACATAATTTGTTTAAACAGTCATGTTCAGTATTCTGAGGAAATGAGACATGTATGCACCACTGTATGTATTTAGTGGAAATTTGGTGTACATCCAACTAAATCAAGGGCACATTCAGCATTAAAGCCATCTAGTTAAACCAGGGTGAAACTGTAATTTAGTCATATTCACATAGATTTTAGACTCTAACACAGACATTTTTGGACAGGGAGACAGAGAGTCAAAAGATAAAAGCTAACAATTAACATTGTTGGCTTTTTTTTTTTTTCCCCCTCTGGATCACTAGAGAAATGACAGTGCTTGACCTTTATTCATATTAAAAAACAGAAGTTTGATTTGACTGATAGCAATCATGAGGTAGCTGGCTCTTGAGGAGTAGTAGTGGTTGTAGACCTCATGTGAGGACGAGAATTTGGCTGTGTGCATTTGTAGTTTGTGTTGGCTAGGCAAAATAGTACCAAGTAGGTCAATCTATGGGAGATCATCAGTTATAGGCCTGAGAATTATCAGAAGGTTTGGATTATTCTTGCAGCAATGACTAAACCCATGTAGCATACAGATGAATAAGCAATCTTTGTATCATAGACAGATTGAGATGGTCATCAGTGTGCCTTCTAGGTCTAGGCTTAGAAAAAGAAAATTTAGATGGTCTGATAGGGGTCCTATTAGTAAGGTAACATGTATGATATACTTTCCTAATTTGCGTAGGAGAGTTGTGATTAGTGTTCTGCCTGCAATAGGAAGCTTCTACATGGACTTTGGAGGGATCATAGGTGTAGGCCATATAGTGGGGCTTTTACTATGAAATTGTAATTTGGATACGTTCACATAGATCTGGGACTTGAACACAGACACTGCAGTATTAATCCAGATGAAATTTATACTGAATCTAGCAAACTAGCTGCAAAATTAGGCAGTAATGTTTGTATCACAGAGTGATATGCTGTTTCAAAAAAATAAAAGCTAATGCTTAGCACTCTTCTCTTGCTCAGCAGACAAGCAACAAGCCTTATCTAGTGGTTGCCAAACTCTGCCTGTGGTATGGGTTTCGAACTAGATGAACTTTGAGGTTCCTTCCAACCCGAGCCATTCTATGATTCTACGATTTGATGTTTGTTTTTCTAGCTGGCAGCAGATTATAAACAATAAACAATTGTCAGTATCATCAAAGCTGCTCATAAAACAATGTCAAGAGTGGAGTTTTATCTGCCAATCTGATTTTGTTTCTCTGCTTGTTCTTTAGTGAGGAAAGTGGCTTCAAAGGGGAACTTGGGAAGCAGAAAACCATGCATTGATTAAGAATGATTGCTAATATTAATCAGTCAATTTCTCACTGCAAGGGGAGACAAAGTTCAGGATCCCCATCAGACTTCCATCCAGATGTTTCACTTATAAGCCTTCATATGTCTAAGAGCTCATCTAGAATGAAATATTGTATTTTTAAGGAAAATGAATGTCTTAATAAAGCGGATCCTGTGATAAATTAACAGTAAATGGAACAGACTTTATCTTGGTGAAGACTGTTTCTCCTATGGGTTGGTAATATCTGTGGGAAAAGTTCAAATTACTGTTAGGAAATCATCTCTTTTTCTCCAGATATTAAATTCATAATGATACTCAGGACTGCCTTCCTTCCAGACATCATCTCATCAGACAGATTTTCAACATACAAAAATAAAAAAAAGATATCTTCCTATAATGAATGATATATAGCATTTCTTCTCAGGTGTCTTTTCTCCAACAACATTAGTCCCAAGAAAACCAACTGTATTAAACTCTATTGTTATCAAACCATCTCTTTCTCCTCCACTCACTGAGATATGGCTCATGCTTTCTTAGGTAGACCAAACTCCTCACTCTTCTGAGTAATACTTTATCTCAGTACATTTTTGGATCTTTCTGTTTATTTCATAACTTTATTAACTCTACTAAGCAGTGATTTTTATTTTTTTTTTTTGGATGTTGCATGGAAATCCTCATATAGCTAAGGAGTTCAATTTGCACAAATCTTTAGTTGCTTCTCAATCCAAATGAATTGGTGTTACTAGCACACAACTCAGTGTAGGCCTTATTATACAGAAGACAAATTTATTTCAGTCTAGAGAAGTGTTTGGGCACCTAAGTATGTTTAACATGAGTAGTAGCACAAAGTAACTTAAGGAAAGAAACTTCTTCCCACACTTCATCAGCAAATACATCATTAGAAACACTAATCATTTTCCAGTGCAGAAGTTTCATATACATTTTTTTGTGTACAAGTTTGATGCAGAGAGAATAATTATAAAAAAAACTCAAGTAAATTATTTCTCAGAAAGAAAAAGTAAGGTTGATGGCTCTTAATACATTCTTAGAAAATGTAATATTTACCTCACAAGGCCCAGAACCAATGGTTTCAGCCACAGCACAGATTTCTGACTCATTCACAGTGATCTTCCCTTTGAGATACTGGCTGCATTTCTCATTTGCCAAAATAAACAGGTTTGCTACCCGGAGAAGACCATCATAGTTAGCTACTAGGATTGAAAAGAGAATAAAGACTTTATTCTATTTTTGAGGGAAAAAAAAAAAAAAAAAAAAAGAAAGAAGATATTAAAGATGCAATCTGGATGAACTTACTCTTATATGTTAACTCAGTGTACTTTGTCCCCAGTACTCATATTTTCATTTATCCTCACTTTTATCAATAATTTGTCCTTTAAGGATTTTTTATATTTGCTACAAACAAAATTTGCAATAAATATTCTTGATGTGCGTTTCTCTTTAGTTCTCTGAGAATATCTGAAGAGGTTTTTAGTATTGGAAGAAAGAGATAGATTCTACCGCCAGCTTGCTTTGGCATATCACAGAAATCAGGGAAAGTGTGAAATGTTGTCATTCCTGTTAGCAGAGCGAGGATTTCACTTCCTGCCTTAAACAAGGGTTAACATGAAATGGTGGCTGCCATAGCCTAATGAAGGACGTGTAACTTTAAAAATACCATAGCAGTACAGGATTTTTCTTGTTCAGCGCTGGCTCAGCTACACTGAATGACTTTGTACCTGCAAGAGCAGATCCACAGCTTTATGCAATCTCCATTCATCATTGTGAAGGTCAGGAAGCAGGAGCCCCGTGGAGCTTTTTCTTGTTCACATGTCAAAAGACAAGTCTGTACAAGCTGTGAATTAAAATAGAGGGCCTGGACCTGTCCATTCTCTGTACAGTGATCAATAAAAGTGTCAACTTTGCCTTTCACAGAATTGTTATCCTGTTTACTTGAGTACAAAAATGAATGTAGCACTTCTTCCTTCCCTGACTGTGATGCTTTGAGGATTGCATTAAGTAGCATATAAAATAAGGTACAAAGTCCTTCATCCACAAAGATGATGGATGTTATGTATTTATGGTATTATGTAACTCCACAATAGCACAAATTCCTTTATCTGTTCTCTTAAACTAAGCTTTCCTGTGATGCTGCACCATGCCGCAGTCCTAATTCCCTTAGACAGCCATTCTCCCCAGAGGATATCTAATACAGCCATGCTGGGAACATTAAACACAGTCATCTACAGTAGGGTTGGCACTGGTTATTTGCCTTCCACTAAGAAATGTTTGAAGTAATGCTTGCAAGGGAGAGAACCTTACAATTACAATGATGTTTCTGCTCTGCTTTCAGGACAGCTTGAGTATGTTACTGCTGCTCACTAAGGATCTGTGGCAAAATGGCACCTGAGCACAATAATTACTGCAGTAATTATTGTTAACTGGCAGCTATTTACTTTATCATCAACATATCATTAGCCAGATATAATACTTACCAAGTCTAAATAAATGTCTCTTCACCAAAAGTTTGTATTTACTTCACACAAAATCTGAGTTTTATAAATGTTAGTAAGGTCAAGCACTCAACAGTTAGGAAATGTAGTAGTGCTACCTGTGAATCCTTACTAACACTGTCTTTGTGTACATTAATTATCTTAAGATTTTGTATTGTATGATTCTGTATTATTTTTTCCACCAGGTGGCCTGCTTTGAGATACAGAAATAATCATGAAGATGAATCGGAATTTTTCAAAACAGGCTTAGAACTCTTTAAATCAACTATGCCAGATTTTTTTAAATATGTAAATCCATTTTGTTTTTGCAGTTTGTTCTTTGAAATTTTTGAATCATTTTGTCTTCTCTCAAGGGGGAAAAAAAAAAAATAAAGAAAAGAATGGATTAATAGAAAATATTTCACATTAATTTATCTTGGATAAAATGCATAAAGATTTACAAAATCAAAAAAAAAAAAAAAAAAAGAAAGTTGAAACTGCATTTCATAATGAAAAGTGTTGGACAAATGTGGCATCAGGTAATACCAGCAGCCTCACCTATAATTACAAGAGGAAGGAAGTAAGCTGTCATGTCAATGTATTCATTTAGTTTTTAAAAATAATTTCTTACATCCAGTGTATCCCCATCCATAAACACTGCAACTGGTCTTCTCTGGAATGGTACATCCAGAAATGGGCAATCGGATTATTTCTACAAAATTTGTCAATATGGCAGGTCTGTAAAGAGAAAACAAACAATACACATGATAGATTTTATTATACCTTCTAGAGTCTATCCTTAAAATAATGTTCATAGAAGTTAAAAAATGCACCAATTCTTTTCCTTTCGTTTCCATCTTTGAAGAATATGATGGATTCTTCTACTTTTTTGCATATATTACACTTGTGAACTGTCAAGAGATTTCTGGAAATGATGTCACTACTTTTATGCTGTTGAACTTGGCTTTTCATCTTAAAAGCAAGTAATGACAGCATTTCATTTGAACAGGTAGTTTTTTTAACACTGAGAAAGTTTGAAAGTTTATATGTAAACAGATATCTTAGATGCAATCTGCTATTTGCTCTATAAATGAAAATCACATACTTATCAATGAATATTAAAATAAATAAATAAACTAAACCTCATAATCTGGAAAAAGGCATAATTTTTCAGAAGTAACATCTGATTTCTGAGTAAAAGAGACACCATTTCTGGATATTTCAAGTGAAATTCTCCCAATTTCTTAATATATTCATGCTGTGCCCAGTGCCCAGAAACAACTGACATGAATATCCTATAATTGGAAGTTTATCCTATAGAGATGTCATCTGCAGTATCAAAACCGTACAGAACTAAATCTGCCACTGTTATTTAGGATGAATTTCATTCAGCAGCTGAAAATCCTGGAATTAGCAATAGAGCTACTAACCTGCTAAGTTTCAGTAAAACCAGATCTGATCCTGCTGGACCGTATACCAGCTGGGAGATATTCCGAACTTGTCTGTGCTTCTCTTCTCCCTTTCCTTTAATATTATGGACTCCAAGCCAGGCTTTGTAGTCTTTCAGATCTTTGTAACTAAATTAGGCAAAGTAAGTTAGGATTTTGCTGCATGGATAATAAAATAACCCCAAAAAGCTCTGCTTAACATAATTACAGTACAAGATCTTAACCGGCACTTCACTAGAAATCAGCATACACTGCCAATTTCTAATCCAAAATCAACATCCTCAAATATAAGTTTTTGGTCTGAAGCCACTGCATAATTTCATCATTAGCTGTGACTAAAATGTGATTTTGTTTTCCACTAGAATGCAAGCATTTAAATCTTTGGAAAGTGTGAACCTTCGAACTTTTCAAAGTTTGCCCAAAACTTCTACTTTATTCTGTCCAGTTCAGAAAAAGCTTAAGATTAGTTCCACAAAGAGGCAACTGTGTAACTATTACACTTGGATAACATGTTCGCACTTCTGTGTAAAACCACCAGACTTCCTTTAGATTAACAATGATAAAAACTGAAAATGCCAAGGCCTCTCAGGGATTTTGACATCAGAAGAACAGCGTTAAAGATAAACAGGAGTGAAAACTGCTGCATTCAAATAAAAGTGTTGTACTATTAAGTTACAGAAAATGCATGTATTTCAATATTGCAAGACTACAGACTACTGTACCGAGAAGGGAAACACTGCCTTGCTGTGAGAACCCATTCTTCCTTTACCAGAGTACCTCCACAGATATGCTTATTCCTGTAAAATAAATAAATACATACATACATAAATAAGGATATTTTTTTTCCTACCCAGACAAAATCTCTAAAGATTACTTGTGTAAGCTTTCATTTAGGAAACCCCCTGGTGCAGGGAAAGGTGGCTGAATGATAGGCTGTGGAAACACTTTGCTGTCCCTTTGCCTCACAGTTTGAATATGTGTGGTAGCACAGCTTTGCAAATTTGCTCCAATTTGCATGAGCCAAGAGAAAAGAGAAAATCAGTTACTCTGTTCCTTTACTGGTTTCAGAGTTGGATCTATAATGAGAGATATTTTAATTAATACTTAAAAAGTGAGCCTCTTTTTAATAGCAATTGGACTGAAACATTCAAACAAGTCCCCAGACTGCCACCACATGTAAACAACATTTTTCAAGTAGGTATTATTCAGAGCATTGACCTCAAGGTGGAGAGTTACTATTCGGTAACCAGTCCTATGAGATTTCTGTCCCCACATACTTCAGTTGGAAACAATCTGCAGTATATGACATCCTACACATAATTATAGAAAATCTGCAGCATAATATATCAAGTAAAATTAAAACAGTTAAGCATGGCAGTTCTTTCAGAAATAAAGATGACTGTGGAATGCAGGTTAATTAGTTTGCTTCATTGTGTCTCCAAAGTCACATTTATTTTCTACAGCTCTTTAAAAAATGAATCACAATTGTCAATGATTTGTGAAAAAAAATTAAAATATCACAATTTATAAATTCAAATCAACAAATATTCAGAACTTTGCAAGAAATGCTGGAAGGAGCCCAGATCCTACATGGAGTTCTAAGAAATCAGAATAACAGAGATGCTTGACTGCTTTAATTGTGTTTTGTTGTTTTTTGTTGTTGTTATGGTTGTTTTGTTTGTTTGTTTCTTTGTTTTGGGGTGGGGGAGGGTGGGGGTTGGAGTAATGTGCTTTGTTGTTGTTGTATTTTAGTTGAGGAACAATCTATGTAGTCTAAAAGGCTGGATTCTTTATAAAATCATGATTCTAAGCAACATGGTCTAGAGGGAGGTGTCCCTGCCAATAGCAGGGGGTTGGAGCTAAATAATCTTCAAGGTCCCTTCCAACTCAAACGATTCCATGATTCTGTGATTCCCAGTTTTATTATAAACATTTCAAAAAAAAAAGGAGTATAAATGTGTGTTCCTGCTTGTTTGTTTCACTATTTACCAATATAACTTCACATGATTGCATCTTGTGCTTTACAAGTCTGACTAATACAGAATATTAAGCACTTATTTAAACAAATCACAAATCCAGAACCGATTTCCTGAAATGAATGAAATTTCTCCAAATATATTTAAACATTCCTGATAACAGAATCTGCATCAGATATTTAGGAAAATATATCATTAATTAATTTAATATTCTGAAGTGGACCTCGGTTGCCAAGTATGAACACAAATTTGTAAGCATAAGTAATAATTTGCCATTGCAGTTCCAGTTTAAGATGTATAGCTTTTTTTTTTTTTTTTTTTTTTTCAGAATAATAGGATACAGCATCATTTATGAAACTCTTAAATCCTTCATGAAAAATCATGGAATTATTAAAATACTGATTCAGAAAAAAGGCTATCTGCTTCCCTGGCAGCATACACAATAACAGTATATTTTTATGCCTATATGTAATACTTCAAAATATATATTTTCTGATGGATTATTTCAGGAATCTCTTTTTCATAAAATAATCTTCAGTTTTTATGTATTCATCTGCTTAATGGAATTCTGTAGTATAGCACGAAATCCATTTTCAGTTAGCTTAACATTATTTATTATTAGCTATTTAAATTTTAAGCACCGAGGTATAATTCCCCTTCCTTGCAAAATGTTCCCCATCCATTAAGGCTGCTTTAAAAACAGTGGCAGGATAATCTTTTCCACAGAGATTCAGCATTCCAGCCCACCTGTTTATTAAGTCTAATGATGTTACTCTAGATATTTATTACTGGGCAATCTGCTAAACTTTTAGAATATTCTAGTTCTGATCTGAGCCCAGGAGCTGGAAACATTAGCAGGGCTGGTAACAACTCCCAGGATTTCTTCAGCAGTAAAGTAATGCAGAAAGTAAATTTTTTGTTTTCTTTTTCCCCAGAATATTGGTAGATACCTACACAGTTTTTAAAGTGATGACATAAGCTAATAGTAATAACATGCACTGTATTTTCTACTAATAGACAAGGAAAAAAAAATGCATGAGATCTATTTCTGTTATTCATTACTAATTCACACTTCTAGCTGATGAGTTATGAACAGAATATGCAATAATTTTGTGTTCTGGCTTTTACACAGTAGCAAACTAAGATGTGACATAATGTAATACACAATTCCAGATGTACATGCTAGGGTCTTGTTTTACAGAGTGAAAAACAGATCTCCTTAAAGGCCTTTTTTTTTTTTTTTTTTTAATACAAATTACCATTTAATTGCATGCAATGATATGAACAGAAAGCAAAAGATATGGGTATATATCCTGAATCCTTTCCTAAATGCACTACTGTTGAAAAGTAAACGTTGACGTGAAACTCAATTTTCTTGTAACTATCTATAAAATAAACAGTTTAAGGCTAAATGTGGAGCCAATTATGTGAAAAGGTATGCAGTTGCCCATCTAAAGAGCAGAATGCTATGGATGCTTTAGAAGCTCACATGTGTAACTCAGCCATAATGAACATAGAACCTTTTCACTGGCAGAGCAATATGTAACAAGATGGAATCACCAGGTGTTCCAGGATTGCTAATTTGTAAATGTCTTTACAGGATTAAACTACAGTCTAGAAGTATCCTTATTCCAATTAATGTTTTCTACAGTTTGAAAATAAACATCCTACACGATGAATTGTCCTTCTTATCAAAATGATAGTTACCTGTATGTCAAACTAACCACCCATCCTTCGTTAGTTTGAGTTGGGATTCCATTTACAACTCTCAAATGTTTTGTTGAAGCACAAGGAATGACAGTATCTGAAAGCAGGTCCAGAGATCACATTTTACTAAAAACAGCGGTAGGAAACCTGTACAGTTACACATAAGGACCACAAGAAGGTCAATATTTATCAAGGATAGGATATTATTTCCTGAGCTAATGAAGTATATTTCTAAAACATCAAAACTACTTCAGTGAAGTTGGGTTCAGTCCACATAGACTCAGTCAGGAATATTAAAAAAAAAAAAAAATCTTTTAAAATATTTTACAAACATTTCCATATTTACAAAGCAAATAATGAAAGTTGTTACCATATCTCACCCCTTGCAAGACAGAAACGTGAGAATAAAAAATACAATAAAGCTGTTCTACATTTGCCTTTTGTAAAAATATTTTTTTCCTAGTACGCATATTTTATATCTTTAACTGTCCATTTTCTTCCTTCCCAGTAGGAAATAAATGGCTAGTCTTGGAAGATGAAATACATGCAATGCACAGTAAATCAGCAAACTAACTTACCATCCAAACTGGTTGTAGTAGGAGTTGTATCACCATCACCTAGACAGACAAATAAAATATCCTTAATACAAAATTAAAACGCATCTTAAACTTGAATACAGTCATAACAAACAGCAAAGGGCATACTGTTAATTTTAATATTCCATTAAGTTTAAAATGTCAGTAATTTCATTAATACTCCATAAAAGTTCAATTTTAGCAAGATGGAAGAATTTCATTCCAATAGAAAGGAGTAAGAATTCAACATTTTGCAAAGGAGTTTAAAGCATTTTGTTTCTTGGCTGAATCCTGAATACATCAGGCTATCTGTCATGTTCAGTTTCCACATTTCAGTTAAACATGACAAGGCAGAGAAAGGAAATCATGATTTTTCTCTAAGTTTTCTGAAACTATAGAAGTAGTACAATTTAACCCAGATCAGTTTTGAAGAAATTTTCTACCTGTCCTTTATCAGTATTTGTTCCCCAAACTCTCTTTGCTCTTTCATATAGTCCAAGTCTCAATGCAGTTACAAGATTGCTTAAATTTTATTCAGAAATTTTGATTTCAGTAAAGTCTACAATGTGGCCCAGTGGTATGAGCTAGATGTATGGGTGCAGCTGCTGAAACTTTGAATGAACAAATGTTAGACTGTCTCACCTAAGACTGTCTCATCATCTGTATATATACGTAAAGGTTATGGTTACATATATAGTTATTTATATAGTTAGTATGAAGACGTATGTATGTTGTATGTATGTATGTATGTATGTATGTATGTATATATGTATGTATATGTATCTGTACATCTACACATGGTTAAAGGCACCGAGTTGGCAATTGCCAATGTTTTGTCTGTATCAGTTAAACTGGTTACTAGTATGAAAGCAAGTTACTCACAGCTTAAAACTAGTCCACACAACTTACAGTTCTAAAACAGACATATTCCAGCTTTGGCACTGGAATCCAGAAATCGTAATGCCTCTACTGACAATATTGACATTACTCTACAAATGGCTTTTGTGAATTCTTCCTTAGGAATAGATTAATTGAGATAAAGAACTTAGAATGAGTGAATAAAATTTATATTTTTTCAGCTATTGTTCTTTGTCTATGTAACATTTAACATTATTTGTTTACTTTTCTTAATTACTCTACTTAAATGAGAAAAAAACAAACCAAAAACCTATGATTTCTTATATCATCTCTTAGAGATATTGTAGTTCAGAATATGAGGAAATGCAGCAAATTGCTGCTAGGAATGGAATTAACATTATCCCCAAACTCTAGACATCACAGACATATATATTTAAAATCCTAAGTTATCCTAATTTACTACCAGGATACACAGCTAAGTAATTTAGAAATAGGAAGTAATGAAGAAAATCTTGAACCTACATGTGAATTGCACATTTTCAGGCATAAATATTTTTTTTTCTACCTAGCTCCAGCTTAATACTGAATTCCCCATAATTTTTATTTCTGTTTAGGTAAACTATGTAGTTATATAATATGCAACTTTAAGGGAGTGATCTTCCTAATTTTTGTCAAGAGTTGAATCATCCCACAAGCATCCAGAAGCACAATCTAATATATATAAGACATTTACACATCAGCATATCTATAGTGAGCTATTCTCACTCTAAACACAAATACAGAACACACAGACAGACAATGAAGCTTTGAAGCACAGAAGATAAATGCTGTCCCTGGGTTTCTTAAGGCCATAGCCAGCACTCTGACTATTAGACAATTGTCTCCATCCAGCCCTCATTCAATAGCTAGATCTGCTGGAAAATGACCATCTGTAATAGAGCTTTTATGCTCCTACTGCATAAGTAAGTCTTGAAATCTCCAAGCTGGTTAAGGAAAAGGACTTCTTGTTCATATATTTCAGAAGCAGCTTCCTCCATTCCTTCTCAATCACGCACAACTGATTCTTGATTCTGGAGTTACATTATTTCTGCTGCCACAAATGATAATGGAAATGTATATACATATGCATGTGACATCACGTCTTCACTGAGAATACAGCTGACAGTGCCTGAGGCATAGTAAATACTCACATCGAGAAATAGGGCAGTAATCCCAGGGAATGAGAGGATCATCTGTGTAACACCAGGGACCATGAAAATCATCATCTGGATTGCGGCAATAGTTTTTCTTCAGTTTACTAACATCTGGTTCTCTGAAGATTTGTATATGCCTATAGGGAAAAAAAATTCAAAGTGCTGAAAAACTTTATGCTATAGCTGAGATTTTCAAAGGTTAAATATTGCTTTACTCTGCACTGTAATATTAGACGATTGAGCCTGCAGGTCAGGGTTTAGAGCTGGTTAAAATCAAAGGGAAGCTGAGACAAATATTTGCTGGATCTGGGTCCAACTTTCCTCTGGTTAGTATTTTAAGCACTGAGTCCAGTGGACAGCTGAGAGATTTCTAGATCTCTCACTCAAACTCAAATCCACGGATACCTCCAGGAAAAATCCTTAAACTGATTTGAAAAGTGTCTATGCTGCATTCAGCAAATCTGCCTGGGAACTTGGGTATCTTCTCCATCCTGATTAGCGGGTAGCAGAAGAGAAAACTGATTCTGCATAGAAGAAAGCTAAACTGTAGGTTGAAGGAAGCAAAAATGCAAGGAAGTTAACCAGACAAAGCAGTAGGCAAGGAGAAAAATGAATTGAACTGATCAAATTCCAGTTATAGGTGACCTAAGCAGCAGACCTACACAAAGCATTTAACTAAAGGTGAAAATCCAGGGTGACAATCTGAAGTGAAGAAAGCTGTTTATTTCTGGTCTGCCAGACAGGAACATACAGGTTACTTGTTAAAGCTGTGCTGCCCTCTGAGCTCATAACCAACCATGTGTACTGTTTCTGACATTCCCGAAACCAGAGTAATTGTTGAGGTGAGACAGGTAATTTCCAAGTCTCTCCTGGGTGGAAAATTAGCTGCAGCAAAGGAAGAAAGGCTGATCTGTATTCATGAATTCACCTGCATCAAGCATCCAGTCGGTACAAGGCTCAAGCTGTATCCTTCACAGCTAACTGAGGACTTATCTGAGCTCTCTGAAGTCCTGATCTTAATTCTCCTGCTTTAGATAGAAAGTAGGCTGGAATATATATGATATCTATCTCTGACCCTGGGTAGGGGAAATAACACATAGTCCAGCCTGTGATTACAGACAGTGTCACTGAAATCTGTTTTTTATAATACAGCTTCTCTGAAGGCTCACTTACAGATTTACAGTGATCCTATTACTCCTGAACTTTATTAATCTACACTTCTGAACAAACAGAAAGAACACTGAGGATCCTGGAGTGACTGAGAAAATCTTTCGTAATTTCTGCTGAATCATTCTTACCTTAACAAGTAAGTTAAACAAACTTGCTGTTTCCACTGCTTGGAATTCAGAAACTAAAGCAATGATAAACAATAGAAACTGTAATTTGCTTTAATGGCATTTGATGTCAGTGTCATTAGATTTTAGACGCATGATCCACTTTCAGTTTGCAGGGGACCTCAGGAGGTATTAAGTTCAACATCCTGCTTCAAACAGGAAGAGCTAAGAGAACAGATCAAATTGCTCAGGAATTTATGGTGTTCAGAACTTTGAAAAAGGCAAATATAAATATTGAGCAAATGTAACATAACCATTTCCTGCTTTGTTCCTGCTATTCTCTCATAGAAAAAAAGCAAAACAAAACAAAACAAAAAAACAACTTTCAAGGACAAATGAGGAAAACGCGACCAGTAAACTAAACACTAAGAAACATCCCAAAGCCTGCAATTAGTGGTTAGTTTGAACAAAGACATGTTGTGTAATATATTTTAACAAGACACTACAAGACAAGACAAAAAGACACTACAAGAAAAGACAGGAGTAGACAGGAAAAGAAAGACTGGAAAAGAAAGAAAAAGAGAGGAGAGGAGGGAGGGGAGGGGAGGGAAAGGGAGAGGGGAAGGGGAAGGGGAAGAGTTCCAGGGTATACGGGGCTATTTTAGAATCACTACAGAAGAAATTGAGATGCCATCTGGAGGCAACAGGAGTCACTGAACTATCTCTTTTGTATTTACTCACCTACGCAAGTCTTCAATATTCTTGTCCCATGTGGAGCAAGTTAGTCCAAATCTTGTCTTGGACAGATTCCCCATGTAATTCTTTCCATTGCCACGATAACAATCTGAATATGAAATGTTGAGACAAAGAAAAGTAGAGGGCAACTGTGCAACACTGAAAAGAAAACTCTTCCTTTCCATCATTAATTTCAATAATTAAAGACAAGTTTTACATGTAGCAAACACTTTATGATATAAATCAGGCATCAGTATAAATCAAATCGGAAAGAAAAAGGGAGAAAGTTTTCAAATTTAGATACATAATCCCTTGCTTGAGGCCTTTGTTCTCAGTACAGTAGCATTTTAAATGTCATCTTGCTTAGATAAACTGGGACATTTTCTTTCATAAGTAGTTAGGTTGTGTATAATTTATAATGGTTGCACCGAATGTTCTAAAAGTTGGCAAGAACTGTTTTATACAAAACAAAGCAAACCCTATCTTTAATCCTTTCTCCTCAAAAACAGGCTTTCAGTCTGCCTATCAACAACAACCTACCTTCATGTAAACTCTGGATACCACACATAATTCTTGATTTAAGTTCTACTTTGGCAAAATTGAAAAATCTGCATGACTTCAGCTTTAATGTAATTCAGAATCTTGCCTGTTGCCTCCAGTAGAAGTCATGTTTAATTCATAAGCTTTAATCACAAGCTTTTTTTCTGAGACTTTTCAAGAGGATTATTTAAAATGAGCATTACTCTAAAGACTTCTGTATTAAGCATTTCATTTCATATTCATCAGTATTTTTACTTTTTGATAATTGATACTTAAAAAAAAAACACCACAGAATGAAAGTCAAAGCATAATTCTTGTTCTAACTGAATTCTTGCAAGAGATAAATTCTTTATAATCTAAAGAAGATTTTAATATATGCTGAAGTAAGGTAATAAATCGCAAGTTTGAAACTCAGGTAGTGACTTGGTTGATATGAGTTCTCAGGAGGCAATAATACTCCTTAGACTAATACCAAGACATAGTGTGGACTTTATGGACAGAGAGCTTGAAGATAAAAGGTTATATAGGAAATCCCACGTGGTTTTTCAACTCAACTTCTTTTAGTCAATGGGGTTTATATGGGGAAAAAAAAACAAGGGTTCGCGGCCTCATGCACAAAAAAAAAAATAGTTAACCAAGAAATCATGAAAAATCATCTCAGCTTTGGGAAAGGCCTTCCAAATTAAGAGTGGTAATAGATTCACCTAGTCTAAAAATCAGATCCAACAGCAAATCTTTGCTGCAACTTTCCCTGCTGGAACTGAAACATGAACTGAGAAATGAATCTCATTTACACCATGATGAATCCCAAGTATGCAAATAACACTAAAGTATAACTACTCAGGTGTAATGCAGATGTACTGAGATCAGCTTTTCCAGTTTTCATGCTTGCCTATCTACCATTTGGAACAATACAGTGTTCACTTAAGGCTATGTTATCACTTTTCCCTCTGTTACCTTGTTCATTTGATACATCACACTTAGGAATCTGGGAGCAATAACCAATCCGGATGTTTGGGTCAGTAGTAAAACACCAGGGTGATTCAGATCCATCTGGATTTCGACAGTAGTTCTCCCTCAAATCTCTATAAAAATAAATATGTTAGCTTGCAGCAGGGATCACCTAAAACCACTGATGCATTCTATCAGATTTTATTATGAATTAGAAATAATATAGGCTCCTAAAGGTCTGTGGAACTCGATCAGTGTCAAGTGCAGGGATTTGAGGAACAAGTAAAATTACATATACCAGAAAATGTAGTAATTGTAATGAGAAAATGATTATGAGAATTCATTTTCAATGGACTTATGTTTTGACTAGCTATAAGATTGCATTTGAAGATTATCAATATTTTGGTATATATATTTTTCAATGTAGCTTATTTTTATTCAGGATTCTCCATCAAAATTTGCATGCAATCTGACATTGGATACACCTGCAATCCATTACAAGTGCTTTTAAACACAAACATTACCAGAGTGCTTAAAATTCCCTGTGCCTGAATGGTTCTGCTGAGCTTAGAGGAACAAAGTCCTTATGACTGTCAGTGATTCACTTAAGAAACTGAATCTTAGAAATGAAAAAAAAAAAAAAAAAGTATGTTGAAATCCTATACAGCTGTTAAATTTGAAGTTGGCCGCGAGGGAACATATTTAAATGTCTCTTGCAGCTTGAATTAAATAATCAAACCTCTTAAATGTTTTATTTTTCATCTCCTGACATGTTCTCTGTAATGCCATATTTCACTGCATTTTTCCATCTGCATCACTTACTGATAACAGACTATGGAAATAATTGATCTAATGCTGTAATTCTTCCTCTGTGTTCTGAACATTCATATAAGTAGTTCCATTGATGTAACTCAATCTATTGTCCTGAATAGCTACAATGCACTCAGACACCAGCTGAATAAAAAGTCCTAATGTTTTTATCCAGCACAGTGTTAGAGAAATTGTTAAAACCACAAAGGGCTAAGCCTGCAGCATAGGTACAGCACAAAATGTAAATGGTAAATTGTCTGAGGAACGCCTGTCGGGTCAGGCTCAAGCACAAATTTACAAGTAAAGGCAAGATGGTCCTGCAATTAACAGAGGAGGTTCAGGGTAATTTCCTATTTGCTGTCACGTTTTCAGTAGATTTGTTACTACACACAATATTTGACCAATATGCCAAACAACAATAGTAAAGAGCTTAAGGTATTAAACCTAACTGTTCTACTCAAACGAGGTGTTGCTAGAATGAGAATCTGAAGCGAAACTGAAGTCTTTTCTTTACCTTGAAAGGTCTGCACTGTTAAATCCCAACACAAGTCCACACTGTCATTCAGCCACTGATAAATACATTTATACATATATATATTTATAAAGACTCAAAGTTACACTTTGCTAATTAGCTAAGTTTCTTCTACACTTAGTGAAAAAAAAAAGGACTAAAAGATTATGATTAAGATAACTGCCAAAAACAAGTAGATTCACATGCTGTGAATGTCTCTCTCCTTTTATGTACTGTACAGGATGCTTAGATGCCCAGTGCTCCCTCAGGTAAAATCTGTTTCATTTGTGCAAATATATTTAGTAAATAAATGGAAAAAGGATTGAAATTTTTGAAAATAAAAGAAGTGTTGTCAAATATTGCAAATACCAAGTATTATCAATTTTTATTTATTGAAAAAAAATATCAAAAAAGTATTGCCAAAGTTTATTGAAAAACAAAACCACTGGCATTTTTACCCAAATTCACCTAGAGCTAATGTTTTGAGATAGGAATAATTTATTTTCCCATATTCAAATATTTTCCAGCAAGCAGAGGAAATGTATCACTGTGCAGAGTGAGTGACAGGGATCCCACAGCCTACTTTGGCAGCATGAATTTAAAAAAAACAGCAGGAATTGTTCTTAGCCCAGAGCATTAACACACACTGTCTCTACTCACTTGCACTTGAAGCTCTCAGGAGTGATGTTGTGCTGATGAGGAAACTGGGAGTCCCACCGTTGGCACTGGATCCCACTCCATATGGTGTTGACTGTGCCACGGTATCCTTCGCCCTGCCCCTGGATGCATGTTGTTGTCTCAGCCACTGCCTCTGTGCTGTTCAGAATGCCAACATCTGCAAATGCAGAGAAGTGATGTCTTGTTTTCATAAAACCGAACCCGTATCAGGATGTAGGGTTTGAAATCTACACTGCAGTCCAAATTGTGGAATTGAAGTCCTTTTTCAATCTGTCTTTTAAAGAATAATAATCTTGTCTTCCCACTGACAACATCCATGAAATCAAAATGGGTCTCGGCTTTATGCTAGTTTCCCCGCTTGTAGGCCAAGAATCTAAAAGCTGTGTAATACTTAGGAACTTTTGTTAGACACTTGACTCATTCTATAACACTGAAAGTCAGGAAATATTCTTAGTTATTGTTTTCAGTTCAGCAAATATTTTCTCTGTTTCTTAGCTTTACAAAACTGAGTGACCACACATGTGCACACTGTTAAATATGTTAAAACATGTTTGAAGGACAAGAATGACCTAACTGGTTTTCTCCAAAGAATTCCCAGAATATCAAGTCACAGAAAATAAGAAAAAAAAAATAAAAAAATAAAAATAAAATAAAAAAAATAATAAAAAAAGATAAATCTTATTCTAACATGCTAAATATTCCTTGAAGCTTCTCTTTGTATGCCTCATATAGTTGGAGAAAAAAATAGTCCTGCTTTTGGAAATCAAAGATCATTATTCTCTAAACAGGGACAAATGTTTTAAACACCAAGAAATTCATCAGACTCAAGATCTTTTACAGATGTTGATATACTCTGCATTCATTCTGGTGTGGGTTGTCTTGAACTAAATTCAGAAAAACAGTGGTTTCTGAAGTGACTCATACACATAACTTGAAAGTCTTTCTATTTCTTATGCAATTTCCATAATTGAAAATTAATGGCACAGATATTGCATCAGCTATATACAAAGTAGTACAAAATTAAATGCACTACAATAATGCTTCTGCAATGTCCCCAGAAACTCCCACCATAACAATTTTTTTTTAAAGTAACTGTTCATCTTTTGGTAATTGCTGTTGTTCACAAGAATAAATTTATTAATTTTCCTAAAGTATTGTTGTCAGCAATAAGCATGTTAATAAACTTTTAAAATTAGTTTTAAGCAAACAGTCCAGTGGTTAGAAAAATATTCCTGTGTTTTACTCATATATAGTTCATGCCTACTAACTTCAGCCAGTTCTGTGAACTTGTGGAGAATATGGTTTTTCAGGAAACCAAATGTCGTAACAGATGGGTTTGGTTGATTTGCTGTCTAATCTTCTATGTTAAAGACCACTTCCCTGTCAGAGGATAACGTCAAGTTGTGCAGTTGAATTATACATTTCTACATGATACAGAAAATTTTCCTTTTTCTCTTCATCTGCTTCATATTTTCACATCAGAGTTTCATTGTCAGATTAATTTCCTGTCCTTCCTTTCCAATTTAATTTGTTTGCAAAGGTTGTCCTGTTTCAATGGAATTGTCAATTCTAAATTCATTCCAATATGGAAAGGGCATCGCAAGCAGACTTCTGAAGATTGATAAATGCAGTCTTTCCGGTGGGTTCATCAAATGGACTTTAATCATTTGTATTCATTTTATAAACAATTGGACAACAACAATAAGAACAAAGGACACATTTGTACATCTATTAGAAATGCATAGCTGCATATTCCAGTTTTCTACTGTCACTAAGATATGAAAACAAATTGGAATTATATTCTAACAGAGTTCTGAAACTGATTAGACTGAACATCACTATACTACATTCAAAAACCTATTTATCTTTGAAAAAAGATATTCATCTCATTCATCAAAAATGAAAAAAAAGCCATGATGTACAATTTGGAATAAGAAAGTCAGTCACCAAGATACATTTCAGCATACATATGGCATCCTGGCTGCATAATACTTTCAAAGTTAGTAATGTATAACTCTAGCAAAACGTCTTCCTAATAGCATAAAATTTCAATTTAATGCAAGTTTATCTTACTCAAAACAAGCTCAATACAAAGACCTTATTTATTCATATGAAGTTAATATTTTAACTGTAATTTTCTAATTATATATTGTAGTACATCTACTACTCTGTAGTGTCATGCCATGGAAAAAAATAATTAGATTAGGTTATATATATTTTTGTCCTTTTTTTTATTATATGCCTTAATTGAAACAGCTAATGCACCAATTGATTTAAGCAATGCCACAGCACTATTTTGTAGAGTTTTTCTTCTTCTCATTCATCTAAAGATACAGAGCTCAACTTTACTATAACTGTCTTGACAGTTAACTCTATCTCTAGAACAGCTTTTACATCAATTTGTGTTAAAATGTTCTCTTTAAATGAACTTCTAACCAGACAAACTTGTCTTTCCCATTATCACTTAAATACTTGCAAAGCCAAGTCATTGCTGGAACGCTTCACATTATGATGGCTAAGAGAGAAATTATTTCAGGATCCATAATGCATGATGGATTAGCTGCTAATACTACTCTGTGGCACATCTCAGTGAGAATTCTAGTAATGCAGAGGATCTTTAAAATATTTTAAATTTGAGTTAACAAATAAGTTCTATCATTCCTCTAAAAAAGGTTTACAGAACTCTCTCTAAATTCTTCTTGTTAGACCACCTCTATTTCCTAGAAACTTCTAGTTTTCAAATATGAGAAATGATACAAAAAATATTATGAAATATAATTCTGAAATTTAAATCCATAGTTCTCATGGCTTTGGTCCTCAGAAACAACTTCTCTCATTCTTTCTTTTGAATCCCAGAACAAGCTGAGAAATGATCAAAAAAGGTTCAACAAACTGAGCTGGTGATTTCCACAGACACTATGGGAACAGTGTTTCTGTTCATGGGAAAAAAGGGTAAACTGGACGCACACAGAGACATGCAACAGTGTAGAGAAAAATGACTGCCTTGCTAGGCATTACAGAGGTGTTCAGCAGACCGTAGTACAGTTGCCAAATTTTAAGAAATGTCCAAGTTATCTAAGACTACAGCTTACATAGTCATCTTTGCTCATACTGGTCTTGATCTTGAGGCTAATTACTCCTGTCACACACACAGCCAAGTACAATAACTCCAAGCATGGATACAAGGCATGCAGAGCACTGATAAATGAGTCCTGCTTCTGAGAGCACACTCACCAATTTTCTCAGGATGCAAAATGACACCAGAAATCAGTAAGACACCCCATCCGTATCCTAGAAATTCCTCTAAAGTAAGGCCCTGGAACACCATGGGCTTTTTTCAGTCAGAAAACCATTATTTATTAAGTTGGAAGATGAATTCATGTTTGATACACAATTTCTATGCAGACAGGTACTTTGATATCACATTAGAAATACCTGTTTTTTTGTTCCAGTTCAACATTCTGAACCGAGAGGAAAAGTGCTTTCAAAGGCAGATCACATACAAATCATTATCTGAAAAACTGCTATTTGTGTTTTATTGATTGTCACATTTTATTCTTGTATAAAACTACATTATGAACTGAAGAATTTATTAAATGTCAGCAGCATTTCTCCACTTTTTAACTTTGATGTAATTATTTTTAAATTCTGCAAGACCGAAATTAACCATGCAATTCAAACAGAGCTGTATTTGAACTTTGACATGTTCACACTGACATCTTCAGTGGAAATTCAGTAATCGGATGTACCCTTTTTCCATAAAACCTTCCTTATTTTGATATCTTAAACTAAATAACTGTTCATAATGAACAGCTCATATATTCATAGATGCTTGAGTAAAGAGCCGTAATGTTATCCAGAGCTTCATGTGCAAAGCCACAGTCTTCTCAGTACTGGTTCTCACAGTAATGCCAGCATGAGAGAATCAGCAGGGGCCTTGAGTCACTCTACAGCTGAAGCAACCAGCCAGATGCAAATCCTGCACAAATGTTAGGTCAATGGATAAACTCCTACTAACTTAAAAGAAGGCAGAGATTTTGCTGGACTACTACTCTTCTGTCATGGTAATGCTATCTAAGTGTTGTTGGAAAAGATCTATTTGGAAAAGAAACGTCCCAAATGATTTTGTCAGGAAAAAAATCTACAATAGCTTACCTAGTTGCAATATTTTTCCTAGAACATAATGAAATGAAAATGTGCTCAGAGTGTAAAGATCTTAAAAGGTAGATTTCAAAAGAGTTCCTTAATCCAGAAACAATTCTGAAAACAATAATGCCCCCGTGACCAGTAAGTTCTGCATGTCAGTGTTTTTCAGGGAATAAGGTGCTCATGCTTAGTTAGGTTGCTTCCAGCCATCCCCACCTCAAGCAGTTCAAGGTATTAATGTGACAGCTCCTTTCTTTCCATTTCCTTCAGCGTAATATCTCATAGTATGCAAAACATGGGAAAACAAAGAAAGGAGCAAATGCTGTACTTGTAGCTCTGGAGAAAAAGACGTTTGTTTCATTTTGTACTGTTTCACTGAGAACATAAAGGAAAGTGAAGAAATAAATTAGATTCAAGCTCAAGAATCACAGTACTGAAGAATACATTGTTACCAAGGACCTGCACAGCTACCAGTCACACCTCGAACAGACAGAGACCTCTCTGAGTTGTTCCAATGCAAACAACTAAGCTTTAAATCCATACATATACATATATATAATATACATATATTTATGTACATATATATAGTTTTTATTCATTCATAATTGTTGCCTAGATTCAGATTTTCATTGTTATATCTCAGCAGGTTCAGGAAAGCTTTTAGATCTCACTTTCAGAGCTATGTAAGAAAAGTTTAAAAGGACTTTCCCTGAAGGAAAGACTCTCTTTGGGGAAATGCACAGTAATGCAGTTGTAATGCATGCTTGAGCTCTTCTTTTTACTTCTGTTTAAAGCAAAGTGGAAGGTAATGTTTTATTTATCACTAAACAACAGTCTCTTCTCACTCAGTTCGTTCCATAAACATCTTTATCTTAAATAAATATTAAGCTTAAATTACGTTTATTTGTATACACACTCTAATTCAAGAAATAACTCCTTAACCAGAATTTCACATTCAAATGGTCCATTCAAATGGTCCATTTAAATCTCTGTTTTTAAAATATGAGCAAT